GGGAAACAGTAGTCATGAGACATCAATATGACATGGCTTTCGCCCTGAACTATTATAGTTAAAGTACGAGGACGCTTGCGTCCAAGTGCTTTAACGTTATATTAGTTCAGGGCGAAAGTGTGCTTTATAACACTATACATGGTAGTAGAGCGAACTGTATTTCTTTTCTAAGATGCCAAATTTAATCCTTTCTAAGGATAATTACGATTAAACAAACGACGGTGTCGGTGAAATAAATTAAGAATCCTCGCACAGGGCTAACTGGCGCGCTGTTCTATTGATGTGTCTGCCCCCCTACGTTAAGACAAACGTTACCAGAAAAAAACAAATGATAACAGTTTGATGACGGTTTACGTTCGGATTAAATATCTTCTCTGAATTATTTCAATTACATCTGTCATTAACGTAAACCATATTGGGCAATATGAACGTCGTATTTCTACTACCAACGTAAGTTTAGATCAGTACATCCAGATGAAGCTGAGTAGTCAAGCGACATTCCACGATTGCATTGTAGGAATGTAAACATTGCGAACGTTATCGTGTCGCTGAAAACTTGTGAGTCGAATTGACACATTTTAACCGTCGTAAAACATAAACGTAATGTTTCCACCAGTGAGGTTAACTGCGTGAAGCAACTGCAAACCAAGAAACGGGATGCAACGGAGTAGTTTACTGTAGGAGGCCGTACGAGGCGATGACAACTAACATGCATCGTGACGTCGCTAACATTGTGACGTAATGTGAAATGGTTCGATTACGAGGGGGCACACTAGAATGGCGCAGTGACGGGATAACGTCATTCAATTGTTACGTCATCAAAAAACTTTACCTTTATTTAGGAGATAAACGTACTGTGTTTGGAAATTAGATGAATGTTAGACCGAATTGATAGTCTCTAAATTTCATTTGAAGCCGAACGCGTAGCACACAGTATGTTTATCTCCATTCTACCATAACCGATTTAACATCGAACTTCCTCGTCCTGCGGAAGGCACTGCGTAATCCGGCATGGGACGAGAGGCGAATTGAACTCGTCTTTGAAGGGAGTGGTAGGTGCCGTTCGTATTTTTTTTAACATTGCAGCATAAAAAATATTCTGTCAAAAGAAAACAAACTACTGTTTATTCAATGCAATAATGTAACACCTAAGAGCTTGGTTTTTATAATCATAACTCCACACGACAGAAACGAGCCTATTGTTTTGTGTGCCGTGTTACTGTACTCCCCTGGCCACACTAAAATGGAATCGTCTGACCTACATATTTTCTTCGAAGTAAACAGTTACGCAACAGTTTGAAATTGCGGACGAGCCAGTGTTTACATTTTGCGAAAGGTTGAAATTCGAAGTGACAGTGGAAAATACTTGACTGACTGTCGAACCTGAACCCTGCAGAATCGAAAATGCATCCTTTTCTGATCGACCTATGACCTGTAACTCATCAAAGACTGTTGATTTTTATGACCGGCGAGTGTCGATCATGATTTCACGTACGTGCCTCCACCCGGCATGCGACGAAAGAGTGACAGTGCTGCTTTGTGTACATCCGACTAACTTGGGATTCCTTGGAACATTGTTCTCATCGTTTTTGACTGGATTGTGGCCAAGCTTCGCAAAGTGTACGAACATAGCTGCAGTGACAGCCTTGCGGGGAAGGTGGCTGAGAACTGAATTCTCGTGGTTCAATTTTTTACAGTTTGAACGATGCAACGGGACATGATGGAGTATGAGTGGCATAATGTTTTTGTTTCGCCTGACCGTTATCTTGCGAATTTCCCATTCTAAACGGAAACAAATATACCATTTACCAGGTAGGGAAATGCTTACGAACGTTTTGTCGCACAGATATGGATTGATAGGGATGTATTTTTACAACATTTTCTGATTTATATGTTAGATATTGTTTGTTTATGTTTGGAGCTGAGTATTGTAATTCATTTTATGTATTTTTATAATAGACGATAATAATTATGATAGTGAGGTTCCCTAATAATTGTGGAAGAGAAATCGTATAATTGTATTTTTTGAGTTCTAATAAATGTTTCATCAGCATTTCCATCACGTCTGTTGTGTTGATATTAGTCATGTTGGTGGCCAAGCTGAAGTAGTGCGGCAGTGTTGTATACGTGCGCAGTGAAGTGCCGTGAAATCAGACGCATTTTCAATCCAAATTGATACCGACTGATTTTATTGATTGACCAATCAAATTCGAGCATTTCACGTAGCCATGGTAGAATGTCTGATAATGTTTGTTTTTTCGATAGTTCTACACGCTAGGCGTCTTAGATTCCTCATTATATAATACATTTCTGTGTCTACAAACTGGCAAGCAAAGCTGTCCCAGCATCACCAGAACGAGTCAACTCATCAAGTGTAACTAACACTTGTCGCATACACGGAAAACCAAACGTCTGGTAACTTTTCTGGAATGCTGAGGCCAGACATTGTTTTGTGGAAAGTTGTTGATTGCAATGAGCATTGAAATGTGTGAGTCTATGTGTAAATAGGCATTTTCTTCCGTCTAAATACACAAAACACGACAATTCCGTGAGAAAGTGCTTCAGTTGATTCTGTCTGATGTTTAGGTTCAACGCTGACCCCATCATGTGCTGTAAAAGCTGTGTTCATGTTGGTTGTCCATCTTCACTCAGAAAGTAAGCCATTGGTTGAATAATAACCAGATTGAATCCCTGATCATGTATAAGATATGCGCGACATATCGGGTGGTTAAAAGTAGAATATTAATGATGTTGAAGCACATTGGATGGTTAAGGATTTCATATAAACGACATGTTACGAAATTGTGTGTGGCTTGTTTGAATTCTAAAAATTTGAAGAAAGATTGCCTTTCCCAATCACGCATCACATACCGAGGTAAGGCTTGGCAAAGAGGTAGTTTGTCCTTTACTCAATATGCTCCTTTGACCATCAAACAGAGCAAACGATGTCCCTTTGATCACTCGTGAAGAACCAAACATCTAACAATTTACACAAACATCGTCTCTCCATCCATGTTACTTCGGGCTGATTGGCGGATTGAAATCAAACAATTACTCGAGAGAGTATTCATGGGCAAAGAGTCGGGGTATTGGATATTTTGATAAGTTGGACTCGTTGATTGTTGAGTGCCTTTACTTTTAACGCGTCAGTCAACAGAGTTCCAACTATATCACCGATGCACATGAACAATGATAAACATATCAGTAAACAAACATACAGATTCAATGCGTTGTATAAATATGGTCATTTAAACTGAGCAAACATGTACGCAATGCTCACAATGAACACTGATTTCATGGTAGTTTGTTGTTTTATCACCGGCTTCCTGTATTGTTGAAGATTCCACATCGAATCCATGACAGAAGTAAAATAGTGTTTACCTTTGTTTAACTTTGGTTCAAACATAACGCTATCCAAAGCACACATGATGCGGTCAAATGTGCACACTTTTATTTATGCAATGTTCTTTCGTGCTAATTGAATAATACTTCCAAATCTGTCCACCTAACTGGCATGTACCCAGATAGTTTGCATCTCTGTAAGAGTGAGATAACATTCATAGTCACACCACATTCAGAACAATTCAACCAGTGGCAGTGGAACAGGATTCATTGACGAGTCACGCGGCAGATGGCTGAGTGTGGGCGTGGCTCGGGAGGGCGAAGCATCACGCACAGTGTTGTGTTCGTGAGGTTGGCCGGTTTGGAGGGGGACTGTAATGTAATGTTTGGGAAGCATTTTGTGCACACGACCGACTCTGCTTCCATTGTGAGATTGTAAAAAAAACATGCTCAAAGCGCACATTCACAATCTGATTATTATTACCCCGGATAACCCAAGCCGCCTGTGAAGCGCAAGAAGGTTAATAGTCAAGTGACTTATCCCACCGGGTACCCATTTTCTTCTGGGTGAAAAGAGGCAATTGTGGACAAACTCGCTTGCCTAAGGTGAGACCACGTCACGTGTGCTTCGTTGTGGGACACGACTGAAGTCCTAGAAACTCTCAAGAGTCAAGCTGCCAAACACGGTCACCCATCCAAAAAACTTCAACTGATTTGTGACCTGAGCTCTATGCACAGGATCACAAACCACTACATGAATTCCGTTTTCGTTGGTGTGCTGTCGCTACTCGCAGGCTGTAAATGTTTTCTTAATTAACTTATTAAGTAACCCATCAAATGATAATGTCTGTATGTAAAAATTAAGTCTAGAGGTGATTCTAAGGATAGAAACGTGTGTTCATAAATCAAAAGAATATGGTTAGAAAGAAAAATGTTTGCATGTATAAACAGGGGAAAAGGGAAACAAATAAGTAATTTGTACTAGAGGGATAGAAAAATTATTATGGACAAAGAGAAGAATTTAAGAAAGTGTGTTTAGATAAATGATAAGGTCGATATGTAGATAGAGGGATAGAGATATGTATGTGTTCAAAGAGAGAGGTGTATGTAAGGCATACATTTAGAGAATGTAAGGATAGAGGTATGTACTAACCAAGAAGGGACTGTATGGATAGAGGGATAGAAGTATATATGCATTAACGAAGGAAAGAATGTATGGATAGAGGATTACAAGCATGCATGTTTAAACGAAGAAAGGAATTATGGATAGAGTCATAGAATAATGAAATGACTGAGGGGTAATACGTATGAAAAGATAAGAGAATAGTATGTTAATAAACCCAAGAGAACAATATGTTGATAAAAGAAAACCAATATTTGGATAAAGGGAAAATAATGAATAATATAGGAAGGTGTAATGAATAGAGTACGAAAGGTTTGTGGAAGAACAAGCGGTAAAGATAGAAGAGCATATTGCATGGATGCAGAAAAACAATACATGACTGCTAGATTACACTGTTTTGTAGAAATAGTGTCCATAAAGGGATCCTGAATTATCCTGGCATGTGGTCACCAATGGTCAGTCGACAACGTTGATAAAGTATTGTTTGATTGTTTCACCAATCTGAAGTACACGATTGAAAAAACGACAGTAAGAATAAATTCAAAGTATTTTAATACTCGGATTCGAATCAGAGCTGCTGCAAATCGATCGCCTTGCGATAGCATGACGCAACTTCCCTCCTCCAATTTGTCAATTGGAAATCATCATGAAATAAGCTCGATCGAAAGAGTACTGAAAGGAAAGTATTGATAGAATGTTAATATCTGATATTTTAAGAGATGAGAAAACAGGAGAAGTACTTACGGATAAAGGATTATGAAAGTAAAGTATGTATGTATGGAGGACGTAAACAATACATCTAAGAGGGAGTAAAGAACGTATGTATAGAAGAACAGAATAGTGTATGGATAGTGGCGACAAGGATACTGCGTGTAAAGGAAATAATAATGTAAAGATAGAGAATTACATAATGTATGTTTAGAGGACGTAAAGAATTTATGAAGAGAAGTAATTATAAAGGTATGTACGGATAGAGAAACATTAAAAAGTATGAGTAGTGGACGAAAAGAATACATTTATGCACAGAGGAATATATATATGGGGCGGTGGGGTAGCCTAATGGTTAAAGCGTTGGCTCGTCACGCCGAAGACCCGAGTTCGAATCCCCACATGGGTACAATGTGTGAAGCCCATTTCTGGTGTCCCCCGCCGTGATGTTGCTGGAATATTGCTAAAAGCGGCGTAAAACCAAACTCAGTCAGTATATATATAGATATTAAGACAGAAATATAAGCATGTAAGATAAGTACATGTGATGTTTGTATATAAAGAGTGAGTCAATGAGTTGGGTTTTACGTCGCTTTTAAGCAATATTCCAGCAATATCACGGTGGGGGACACCAGAAATGGGCTTCACACATTGTACCCATGTGGGGATTCGAACCCGGGTCTTCAGCGTGACGAGCGAACGTTTTAGCCATTAGGCTACCCCACCGCCCCTTCTATATAAAGAGAACGAAATTAGTGTGTGTATAGAAGAACAAAGGAGAGGGTAAGAAATGAATAAAGAAATAAAGATTGTAATATAGAAGAATACAGAACAGCACAGAGTTAATACATTTGAAGAAAAAGGTCAGGAGGTATTTACATCAAAGAAAGTGCATATTGGAATAAAACGATTGTATGGAAAACAATTTTGGAAAGGGGAATTTCAGAATAAATGATGGCGGAAGGAAGGAACATGTGAACGGGGGAAAAACAAACGTTTGGGTCGAGGGAGGAAAGAATTCTCAATAAACCAACGTCACAACAAACTTTGTTTCATCATCAACATACATGCATGTCCCCATACATAATAAACAAAAACAAGCATAGGTAATCATCGGCCACGCATCTTCGAAACAAAAGAGTTCAATTATGTACACTTAATTGTCAAATAACACTCGACACAAAGAAAAATGACCAGTTGGCTATTCCAACATCTGGTACTGTCTGAGGTATTTTAGGAAGCTTCATTCAGCTTTTTGTTGTTGTTTGATTTGTCTGTTGTTTAACGCCACACTCAGCAATATCCCAGCTATATGGTGGCGGTCTGTATATAATCGAGACAGGACCAGACAAGCCAGTGATTCATAGCATGAGCATCTTTGCAATTACAATACCATGACGTGTGTCATCCAAGTATTACAAGGGGGTACGCGCAGTAGTTGGAACAGAGAAACAAATGCACGTGCGGTGCGTGATGAGCGTTAACTTAGACTACCGTAGAAACCAACCCTTCTTGTTCTCGGGGTTTCATTCAAATGTGCTTACCCCCTTGTAATACAAACCAATAATAGCGATTTGAAACTATGATCGTTTGTTAAACAACTTTTATCCTAAGTTGAATAAAATTCTGAGATTTAAATGTCCAATTGGCAAGGTAAATTTATGAGGATTTGCAATCTTAATACCACTTTATTGGATTTACTTTTTGTTTCAAGTGAAATCACCGGTACGTTTTCACTGCAAACAGACTATAGGGGACTGAATGTAGGCTTAAAGGCAGAAAACAACGGATCGCAGTGGAAGAGAAGACTCTATTGAAAGAGGTCAAAGTAGAATATGGAACTAGAAGAGAAATATATGAATAGAGGACTGGGGAATAGTATTGACAGATGAAAAAGGATGCTTAGAAAAGGTAAGGTAAGGAGTGAATGGGTGCAGCTTTACGTCGCTTTTAGTAATATTCCAGCAACATCACGGCGGGGACACCAGATATGGGCTTCACCCAGTGTACCCATGTGGGGAATCGAACCCGGGTCTTCGGCGTAAGGTACGAACGCTTTAACCACTAGGCTGCCCCACCATCCTGGGAGGTAAAGAAAGTATGGAAAGATAAAGGAGCTGAAAACAGTGCGTGTGGATACTGTGTGTCTACTTACCTATTGTTTAACAAATTCATAATGCGCCTTGAAACCCTTTCGGGTCTCACTGTTGTCGGAGTGGAAGTCAATAATGAGACCCCCGACGACGTCAGGCACTGAAAAGAAGATGGTACATAGTCAATCGTTAACCGTGTTTCCCAGGCATAATACCCACTATTCTACTGAGCCATCAGTTAACGAACCACACAGTGGGAGAACTACTGACGTCAAACACTTGTCTACCTACAAACATACTGCATGGGGTCCAACTGTAAATCTAGACAAGACAAATATTCGGGTAATTAGAAGCGATGGACGTCTATGGAAACGAGCATGGTTTTATAAAGGTAACAAGGTCTTAACAGCGTATTCATGCAGGTATCTTGGAATAATTTTCTCATCTGTGGGTAAAATGTATATATATACTCATGGAAACGAATAAGGGAACACATGAAAGTACAAGTGTTTGCCCCCACAGTGCAATACATACCTTGTGAAGAAACCTGGAAAAGAATAAAGGAACACTTGTAGTTTCATGGGTTCCCTTATTTGTTTCCATAAGTATATATTCAGGATCGATCATTAAGAGGAACACGAGCGCTATAGGAAACCATCCGTCATCTGTATAAAGTAGGTTGGTTCTCCCTTCCGTGTTTTTAAAGATATTTGACACACAAATACAGACCTTTCTATATATATATATATATATTATATGGCTCTTAGGTGTAGTATCTAAACAGATTTGACAAGATTGAAACTGTTCATTGCAAGATATTTCTCAACGTTGGTCCCAAGACATCGGATGTAGTTGTATAAGGTTAATGTAGTTGTATATAAAAGCAGTTTTTCGCTGTGTAAAATATACTGACTTAAACTTACCGCAATGCGCAATGATATAAATTCCTATTATATGCTTATGTACTACGATAAATATGGGTATGCATCTGTTGAATGCACTTAATAAATTTAGTATTCACATGAATTTGGATTCCTGTGGGTTGTCCAGTGTAATGGAGATAAATTTATTTAAACAAGTTGCAACCGATATGGATCATCATTCTTGGAACAGTACTATAGAAAACAGCACGAGACGCAAACTAAAATAGACAGTTGAAAAGCCTAAGTGAGTAGTATTTCATCCGTTTAATGGATAGAAAACAGTGCATTATGTTTATTAGACTGAGGACGGGATTATTAAGGTAGAAAGTTAACAAGAGGAGATGGCTGATGTTAGATGTAAGTTTACATTGGAAAGCTGGAGATTGAAGATGAATTTAAGACATTTCTATCTGCCTAAAATGCATTATTATAACCTTAATATGTGTACATTTAGAATATTTCTGTCTTCGAACGATGAGACGTTACCGAGAAAAGTATGTAGATGTCTATCCCACAGTTATGAAATGAGACACAATTTGATAAATATTGGAATGATTTAATGTAATTCATGTTCGAAGTCATGTACTACTGTAAGATGCACATATGCATCTCTGTATATAGACAAGTGGCCTTCATGCGGTTTTAAGATTTGACTTGACGTAACAGTTAGTCTGTCCGACATGAGGGACAAGGGGCAGCTTATCATGACCGACAATAGAAATGCAGTAGAAGTATTTGCGACACCATGTTAGGAAATGATGCCATCTGCAGGTATGTCTTCATTTCCAGTCACACTCAACGTAACGCGTTTTTGAGGACCACAATACCATTATTTTTGTCTTTATTATTAACCAATATGTGTCTCAAAAGCATGTCGTAAGGATAACTTAGACACAGATCTAAACAACCAGTCGCTTACGAGAGATTACCTCTGATTGTCATGGGTGATGTTCCACAGTATTTCTTATGGATCACTTTGATGTAATCGAAGCAGTGTGGAGAAGATCCCTCGATGTCCATCGCTTCAATGGTCAGGACTAGAGTATAAGGTTGGTCTATCACTGGTAGGTCGAGCTCCCAGATCCCTTCGTAGTTCTTGGAGTAGTTCTTGGGGTAGTTTGGGGTGTTCAGGTACCCATGCAACTCTCCCATTTTATCCACATGTGTATCTAAAAAACAACTTCTCTTTTCCTTCAGCTGGTAAATATACTTGATCGGTATTTAACTTAGGAGATAAACATACTGTGTTGGAAAATCAGAGATATATAACGTGATTATATACCTCTGAACTACTCTAATTAACCAATCACAATCCAGTAATTACTGAAGTGATTGTAGAATTGCATGTCGCACATATTATGGAGTATTCCTTAATAACGGCTTATATATTCATTGAATTCGAATCCAACATATAGTTTTTCTTTGCACTTGAATATTTAAGAAATTTTATTTTGTAGTAAATAAATGGATTACTCACCCATGGCATATTCTTGGACAGCTCCCAAGAGGAGGCATACGACGATTGCGTTCACATTCATTTCTTGAAAAATCCACAGGTTTGCTGAATACGAATGACACGACCAGATTTACTATCGTAATGTTTTAACCTCTAGTATATTCTGCTAGTGCAATATTTCGTGGATACCTTAAAAACATACAATCTAATTTCGCTGACTGCTAAGCTCACTTTAGTTAATTTAAGCTAAACACAGACTGTCTGGCCACTTAAACATGTGTTGGCAAAGCGAAAAACATATTTACAGATACGGCATTAACAAATTCAGAACTTCATCATTTGTACACTGACCTATTTATCTTATGAGCATGTCTTTAACAAATTAACTTACATGACTATTTAGGAATGAGACGTTAGAACGATAAGAGAGTAACCCATGAGATACGAATGATTATGGAAAATATGTTGAGTGAATATATTCTGAGTTCCATTTTTTTGAATATATTCTGAGTTCCATTTATTAAGAATAACAGGTCTTAGTAATCAACGTTCAACAAAGTGGTAATCTCGTTTCAGAAAGGTCATGTAGGAATGCGCTCAATGACAAAGTGAGATCTGAAACAAAAAAGTAAATCAAATAAAGTTAAATTAAGATTGCGAATCCTCATGATTTTACCTTGCCAACTGAACTCTTAAATCTCAGAATTTTATTCAACTTATGATAAAAGTTGTTTAACAAACGATCATAGTTTCCAATCGCTATTATTGGTTTGTATTACAAGGGGTTACGCGCAGTAGTTGGAATAGTGAAACAAATGCACGTGCGGTTCGTGATGAGCATTAACTTAGACTACCGTAGAAACCAACCATTTTTGTTGTCGGGGTTTCATTTAATGTGCATACCCCCTTGTAATACAAACCAATAATAGCGATTTGAAATTATGATCGTATGTTAAACAACTTTTATCCTAAGTTGAATAAAATTCTGAGATTTTAATGTTCAATTGGCAAGGTAAAGTTAAGAGGATTCGCAATCATAATTTCACATTATTTGATTTACTTTTTTGTTTAAAGTGAAATTCATCGGTACGTTTTCACTGCAAATAGACTATAGACGTATACTAGTAATTAAACCAATGTTATGTTTCTTATTAACAGCATATGTGAGCCTTTATGTACCAATAGTTACCTGTGGGTCTCCGCCACCAAGACGTGATTACAGCAAGGCGAAAGGGCTGCTTCTGATGACGAATATTTTCATGCACAGATGGTGTCGATAGGCATGACGGGAGTTTGGGCTCGTTCAGTGTGACACTATTGATTGTTTCAGAGAAGATTTGGTAAGGCTTGGAGTTTGAGCTTGAAGTGTTTACAAGTGTTTGGACCTGAAGTCTGTCATGTAAGTGTGTTCTCTGTGGTTGTGCAACTCTTTAAGAAGAATGTGTGTTGTGCAACTCTTGTGATAAATGTGTGTTTCCCAACTCTTGTGATGAATGTGTGTTCTGCATCTCTTACGAAGAATGTGTGTTCGGTGTGTTGTGCAACTCTTGTGATGAATGTGTGTTCTGTGTGTTTCCCAACTCATGTGATGAATGTATGTTCTGTGTGTTGCCCAATTCTTGCACGGAATGTGTGTTGCGCAACTCTTGCACGGAATGTGTTGCACAACTCTTGCACGGAATGTGTGTTGTGTGTGTTGCCCAACTCTTGCACGGAATGTGTGTTGCGCAACTCTTGCATGGAATATGTTCTCTGTGTTGCCCAACTCTTGCATGGAATGTGTGTTGCACAACTCTTGCACGGAATGTGTGTTGTGTGTGTTGCCCAACTCTTGTGATGAATGTGTTCTGCATCTCTTGCGAAGAATGTGTGTTGCACAACTCTTGCACGGAATGTGAGTTACGCAACTCTTGCATGGAACGTGTGTTGCTCAACTCTTGCATGGAATGTGTGTTGCAAAACTCTTGCACGGAATGTGTGTTGCGCAACTCTTGCATGGAATGTGTGTTGCACAACTCTTGCACGGAATGTGTTGCACAACTCTTGCACGGAATGTGTGTTGCACAACTCTTGCACGGAATGTGTGTTACGCAACTCTTGTGCAGAATGTGTGTTCTGTGTGTTCTACAACTCTTGTGATAATTGTGTGTTCTGTGTGTTGCCCAACTCTTGCACGGAATGTGTGTTGCCCAACTCTTGCACGGAATGTGTGTTGCCCAACTCTTGCACGGAATGTGTTCTCTGTGTGTTGCCCAACTCTTGCATGGAATGTGTGTTGCCCAACTCTAGCATGGAATGTGTGTTGCCCAACTCTTGCATGGAATGTGTGTTGCCCAACTCTTGCATGGAATGTGTGTTGCCCAACTCTTGCACGGAATGTGTTCTCTGTGTGTTGCCCAACTCTTGCACGGAATGTCTTCTCCGTGTGTTGCCCAACTCTTGCACAGAATGTGTTTTCTGTGTGTTGCCCAACTCTTGCACGGAATGTGTTCTCTGTGTTGTGCATGTCTTGTGATGAATGTGTGTTCTATGTTTTGTGCAACTCTTGCATGGAATGTGTGTTCTACTACTCTTGCGCGGAATGTGTGTTCTCTGTGTTGTGCAACTCTTGCACGGTATGTGTGTTGTGCAAGTCTTCCGAATAATGTGTGTTTTGTCTGTTGTGCAACTCTTGCGAAGAATGTGTGTGCTGTGTTGCGCGGAATGTGTTCTGCAACTCTTCTAAAGAATATGTGCTGTGTGTGTTCTACAAATCTTGCGAAAAATCTGTGTTCTGTGTGCTGTGCAACGTTTGCGCGGAATGTGTGTTGCCCAACTTTTGCGCGGAATGTGTGTTCTGTGTGTTTAGCATCTCTTGTAATGAATGTATGTTTTGTGTGTTGCCCAACTCCTGCGAAGAATGTGTGTTCTACAACTCTTGCGAACAATGAATGTGTGTACTACAACTCATGCGAAGAATGTGTGTTCTACAACTCTTGCGAAGAATGTGTGTTCTGTGTTGTGCAGTTCATGCGCGGAATGTGATTTCCATCACAAATCTACTAGAATTGGCATGCTTGTCCTTTACATGGCTGTCCGCAATTTGTTTCTGTGACTGGGACTGCTAGCACTAATTTGCAAGATGTTTATGCCGTAGCACGCTTTGGGGATATGCTAGAATCGCCAGATCTGTTCAGATACAGAGGAATAAATAATTACATTGATAATCCATATAATGTTATTACTATGATATGGGTTAATCAGGTAGTACATACTCCAGCTGTTATACGCATACATACATGGGAAAAGGTCAAGCACAACCCCTTCATTACTTTCATCACTACATGTCGCGACACTGCACGTATTATTGAAATATTGACTATGTGTAAATGATATATGTCAACACGTGTAACTTTGATAAATATCCATGATACCACCGATAGATCTTGTGTAGTTGTACAAGGACATTGTTTGTTCAGCCAGAACATTCCACCAGTCGAATGCCCAAGGTGTCCTCATATGCTTCAATAGACGCATTGGAAACAGTTAAAAACGTAGTGAAATAACAATACTTGCTATCGAATCATTTACATAACGCGTCGTTTGATAACCGTGCTTGGTTGGTGTATATCAATATAAGTATGTAACTCGGTACATACTTTCAGGGTTTCGGTAAGCGCTTTTCCTCTGCTTCAGTGCTAGGTAACCTTGGTTTGTTGAGCATGGATGGTTATATAGATAAATGTAGACTATTATTTCTCGGCAAGCTGTGCAACAGCAAGTGTAACTCTTCATTTAAGGATATTTTCTGTGTACATTTAGCCACCTTTCAAAATAGAACAGCTGTCTTACACAGTATATGAGACACACTTATTCAAACCAGTTTAAAATACAATCTCTTCAATTATCTTAGTGACTATCTCGATTTTGGAAGGTTTCCATGTAAATGGTCATGGCGAAGAATAACTATTAATTGCATAAATAAATCTGAAACTGAACGATGGGTTTCTCAAGTGTGTGTAAGGCAAGATATGAATAGATATCGCCTGACCCACAATTTCTTTGGTGTACATAGATTGTATTGTTTGATGTATTTTTACCCACAGTTTAAATATATTACAGTTTTGTGTACAAATCAGCTCATGGGGAAAATTCTCAAAACTATGTGAACTCTGCAAAAGATATTGTAATGATTATGACTGCCATGTAATTCTACACTGTGAACACTCTATGTACAGAAATAATTTCTTTTCAAAACTTATAGATCTCTTTGATGTGGATGTTTATGTACAAATAGAATTATTATCTGAAGATGAAATGTTATCACTATTTTCTGGGGGTGAACTACTAGTTACTAACGATATTGATGAAATGTCATGGAGATGTATGATTGTCCTCTTCTATAAATACCTATATTCCTTGCTTCCCTCACTAAACTGTGCATTCTAAACCTTTCACTTTTCTTTGTACATGTATATATGACTATATGAATGTGTTGTGAATATATTGCTGTGATTATGTTGCTGTAAATATTTCATGTACATGTTTATAATGATCTTCGGACTACAATCTGGAGGAAATAAAGAGATTCATTCATTCATTCATTCATTCATTCATTCATACAAATGCACGTGTCTATCATGAAATTAAAAAGGGAAACGATTTTTCTAAATGACTGTACCTGTTTTGTACGCGGTGTTTCTGTCTTCAGGTACATATGTCAGGTAGATAATTGTGGAAAAAAGTGAGTGAGTTTAGTTTTACACCGCACTCGGCAACATTCCAATCATATGGTGGCTGGAAGAAAGAGGAAGGGAGGGACACGTGTTACGTTTTGGTTTGGTTTGGTTTGTTGTTTAACGCCGCACTCAGCAATATTCCCGCTATATGGCGGCGGTCTGTAAATAATTCAGTCTGGGTCAGAAAATCCAATGATCAACATGAACATCGATCTACGCAATTGGGATACGATGACATGTGTCACCCGATCCCGTTAGTCGCCCCTTACGACAAGCATGGCTTGCTGAAGACCAATTCTAACCAGTATCATCATGGGACTACCAATGATTAATAACCTAAATATTTTCATATAAAACATTTGAACCATATCCTTTACATAATTTTCTGACATGTTTATGCTGACGAAGTTACATATCCATTGTGACAGGTGGTGGACGGATCTGGGCAGGTCACGTGTTGGCCAATGCGTCTTATAACGGTTCCATAGTCTTGTAATGGCGATACGTGGAAAAACGGCCGATGGCGTTGTTACGTTGAGCTACTGTCAGTCGTGGCATGTTTTCACTTGCTGTATAATAGTGACAACAGATAAAATGGGTGCCCATTGCCCAACAATTCATGTGGCACGTTCAATCCACGTCGGTGTGTTTGGGCGCCACGATTCCATGTGGTTGCATTGTAGCGTTGCCACTGTTTCGGCAAAGTTTTATTCTACCCTCACAAATCTTCCACGATACATTCAGACATAAGAAATTCATACTTGGTATCATTTCGTATGAATCTCAGTAAAGCAGATATTTCCTTCATTTCTACTTGTGCATCTGTTACTTCAACGTGTTATGCAAAATTACTGTGACAGAAATTCTCAAAAGACAGGAAAATGAAACATAGCTACATGAGAAATATCAGACAAAATGGTTTATTTATGACCAACTGATTTTAACAATGAATTCAACAATAAGAAACACTCTAAGAACTAAAAATAATGCATACATAACAAAAGACAAAACCCAAAGTTCCTTCCTTGACTTTGAGAGGTAGCTACATGAGAAATATCAGACAAAATGGTTTATTTATGACCAACTGATTTTAACAATGAATTCAACAATAAGAAACACTCTAAGAACTAAAAATAATGCATACATAACAAAAGACAAAACCCAAAGTTCCTTCCTTGACTTTGAGAGGTCAAGCTGATAAATTAAAACAAATTCTTTTTGATACAGTTGGGCCTCATAAACCAATAATTGCAGCACAATCCCAACAAAATATATTTTTAAAACCCCAAAGATTCAAAGTGTGAACAAGATACTGTATTGCTGTTTTCAGTTCTCAGCACTTGAGTTGTAAAATTTTAAATTTTACAATTTTTGGTATATTATTTTGATGTATCAATGTTGTTTTTTGCCTAACTAATGGTTAACTCACAGATACAATATTGTATTTAAAATATATCCATAAATACTTAACAAACTCATCTTCCATCACATCACTATCATCAGTTGAGACTTATTTTGACTTTGTACCCCTATAAAACAAATCATCCGATTTCAATGTCAGAAACATGCATCATTCATCTTTCAAGGTTGATCTA